ATATATATATATATATTTTTTTTTTTTTTTTTTTTTTTTTTTTGTAATGTTGTATAGTTTTTTACTTTTTCAGTAAATTTTATTCATTTAAAATGTAAATTTTACATTTTTTATGAATATATATTTGATTCATCTCGTTAATTATTTGTTTTTGGTCTTTTTGGATCTAAATCTATCAATTCTATAATGTTGTTGATTTAATTGCACTAAATTTTTCTTCTTTGATTTTTTTTTTTACTAAGTTTAAAAAAGAAATCCTTTTAGACTTGTCTTTGACTTTGTGTGTTCTTCTTTTTTTTTTTTTTGTTTTTGTTTAAGTTTTTTGGTATATAAGTGATGTTGAATTGGAAAAAGCCTTTAAGAGACCAAATGTTGCTATCATTCTAGTTGGTGTCCCAAGGAGGCCTAGAATGACCCGTGATGATCTATTTAACTTCAATGTTGGCATTGTAAAGGGTCTCTATTAAGAAATTGTTAAGTGTTGCCCTAAAGTGAGTATCTAGCTTCTTTGTACTAAAATGATCTATTAAGGCATGTTTGTATGTCCGAGCTCTATTTTAAAAAGCCTTTAAGAGACCAAATGTTGCTATCATTCTAGTTGGTGTCCCAAGGAGGCCTAAAATGACCCGTGATGATCTATTTAACTTCAATGTTGGCATTGTAAAGGGTCTCTATTAAGAAATTGTTAAGTGTTGCCCTAAAGTGAGTATCTAGCTTCTTTGTACTAAAATGATCTATTAAGGCATGTTTGTATGTCCGAGCTCTATCTTGTGTTCGACCCTAATAGTCACACCCAACCAAGAATTGAAGTTCACATGAAAGTAATTATTCCTTTTTTTTTTAACTTTCTTTCTATATCCAATAAATCAAAATAGAAAAAGACTCAAATATGTATACGAGTTAGTGTCTTATTAGTTGATTTATTTTGTTTACGAGGTCTTGACTCTACATTAGGAGTGTGGCAATTTGAAGGCTATGGTTTCATGCCAAATGGAACATCTAATGCGAAAGTAGCATAGATACATGGTGTAGTCGGGGACTCGAGCACTTTAACATTAAGGATCTATGATAGCAATTTAAGGTATTATAGTAGAGATTTAGAGGCTACTTGCTCTTTATGGCCAACGATTCAAGCTAAACATAATCTCCGGTGTGGATAAATATTGGATGATTGACGGTGAGTAAAAGTATTCTACCAAGGGTCAAGGGCCAAGCGACTTCTATTTCAAATGTGGAGTTTATGCTTGCTCCTCATGCCATAAGCTATTACATGGAATCAAGATAGAGAGATATCAAAACATATAAGAAGTGATGAAACATTGTATCACATTTATATATGGATAAATTAAGCTTATTATGGCAAGAGAAAATAATGTTATTAAATAGACGGATTCTTTTTATGATTATGTTACTCGTTAACTTTGTTTTCTTTTACACAATAATATTTCATGTTATAATTTCATTTTTTGTTGTTTTCTACCCTAATTAAATATTAAACAACTAATTAATAACGAATTAAAAAAATATATTCCTTAGATTAAAGATGGATCGACCGTACTTTTACACAATAATATTTTGTATTATAATATTTATTTATTTTTTTTAGTTTTTTACTACTACAATTAAATAATAAACTACTAACAACGAATAAAAAAAAAATCACATTTCTTACATTAGCAACATATCAACTACTCGACTAATAATAGAAAAAAATAATTAAATTACATCAACTATCGATGAATTACCGATCAAATGGAGACGGATTAGCGATGAAAAATCACCGACCATAATTTACGTTAGTGATTTACGAGTCTCATTGGTGATAGGAGTACGTCCCTACAACGACAACATGTCCGTCGTTAATTCCATCATATTAGTGACAAACATTTTTCACAATAGCAATAATTTGTTTGTTGCTAATTTGGCGACGGATTATAACTTCGTCGTTAAAATTATTAGCGACAAGCATTTTACTAACGACTTGGTTTCATTCCCGCTCCGTTGCTAAATGAAAGAATGACGAAATATATAGGTAATCTATCCCTAAAAACTTAATTTTTGTAGTGCAAGGTCATCATCAAGGAAACTTGAGCTAGGAAGGCAAAGTCTCAAGTTATAATTAATTAGATCCGTTTGCTGATGATAATTACAACTTTCAACTAGCTATCTACTGAGGATGATCAGTCAGTCAATTTATTGCCAAGTTCAGACAAGAGTACAACTAATTGCAAGAACAAGGCATGCCTACAAGATGGTCCAATATCTTACACAAAATAGCAGGTTGCTAGGGCCCCTCTCTACTTTATCAATAGTTAGTATTTAAGCAAGAACATGTTACGAGAAGGATTGATCAGATCTGACACCCATTTATATTCTCTTTACCACGATACAAAAGAGAAAGAAAGAAAGAAAAAAGGGGTCATGAAATTCAATGCCACTTCCTTGATCGTCTGAGTCCGGGCTCGCTATATACAGCGACTTGCTTACATAAGGATAAATAAATTTCTCATTTGGTAAAAAGAGAGGGAAAAGTAGACATCCCTCTTGTTGGGTCTTGAAATCATCCTCTAGAAAAGCTCATTTTGACTGGCAAATATAACTTTTAAGCTTTGGGAAGGAGCACAAGGTTTGGCTATTTCATTTTGTTGTTATATATCTATTTATAATCTTGTTTAATTAACTTATAAGAAAGGATTGCATTAGTCGATTTTCTAAAAAAATCTATGATTATGGTACACCCAATTATACATTGATACTTCACTTTACTATGTTATGAGCTTAGAAAAAGATTAGATCCTAAGTTTCTATGGTATAGTTCTCTCGCTTATTTTTTGTGAGAAAAAGAAAGAAGTGCGAGGTAAAATTAGATGTCCCATGATCCTGGTTCAACTCCAAGAGTCCAATAATCGATGTTTGTAACGCAACAATTTGTCCATTAACTAAAAGTGTTAAACTAAAAGATTTCTCAAGTTACGAGGTCTAGGCATACAACATATATCAAGGATTCGTTAAGAATTATCCAATGTCCTTTTACATTAAATATAAAAAAAAATTAGAATTAAAAAAAAAAAAAAAAAAGAGAAGAAGCTCGTTCTGAAAAAGCAAACGATGTACAAGATGCTCTTATAAACACATTGGGTTTTAAATTCAAAGCTAAAGTGATCACCTTAGTAGGAACTTAGCATGCTTTTTTTCATCAATCGAATAGCTTAGATTCTCTAGGCAATTCAATGGGGTGATCCAATTCATGCAATTCTTAACCTAGACAAGCGCAGAGTACATCCTCCCTCCATGATTACATAGGAAAATGGGAAGTGATGACTAACTAGACTTTTTTCAAAGCTAATACCATCTCAACAATCTTGTACTGTATAGTTGCTGGCCCTTTGGCCATGTAACATCTTCAATTAAAGTGGGCACAAAGATAGGATGCAATAAATGCAACAAACAATAGCGTACTACTTCGCATCAAACCCTATGAAAAAGGAAAATGCTTGGTGACAATAACCTCACACGTGCAATAAGATGGAGGAGGTTTTAAAGCTTGGCATATGGGACCATTCCTATAGTGTTACGTATGCTGATAAGAGCAGCTTTCGATGCCCTAAAATTGTTGTGTTTCAAGTAGGAAAATTGCAAGCAAAATGCATTAAATGGTCATGGAAGTAACCAAAGCTTTTGGGGCAAGGATACTTCTCTTTCCCCTCATTTGTATCAATATTTTTTGAAAATAGAGTAGTCATACGGATATGTTGTTATCATATGCCTGATATGTTTGGTAGGTTATCTTCTTTTCTTGCTTTTCTAATTGTTTCTCTCTTCTTGTTCTTCCCTTCCTTGTGGTACTTTGTTTTCTATAAATTTTCTTTTAGATGTAATGAATGATTGTTTTGTTGGACTACATATACAACGTATAGTTTTTTCTACCTTTAATTTCTCTCAAAAACGAGTGAAATTTGATTTCAAGTAATTGAGACAATATGATCAAATACTTTTATGAGATAAGTTAGCAAAGCTAGCATCACATTCTCATTTTTTGCATTGAATTATGTATGAGATAAGCACATTTTTTTTATATTTAAAATTATTCATACAAGTTATGAAGTCACATAAGTTGTCGACATGACGAAGGCACTCTTCAACATTGAAGAGTTGGTTTAGTGAAAGATAGCAGATGATATGATGGATGATGAATTATTGGAACTTGAAATTAAAGTTTCACAAAAGTTCTAAGAAGTCATGGGTTGAAACTATAAAATATATCAAATCGATAAGCTGATAAAGAAACATATATATGTGTTCATGACTTACAATAATACCAAGTTTTCATTTATATATGTTATTTATATTTTTTTATTTCTTTATTATAAAGAAGAAATTCGAATCCGAAAAGTCATGAATGCCAGTTAAACCAGAAAATCATTGACTGGTCTTTATTTTGTAACTAAATGGAAAACTGATTCTCGAAAATTATGAATTTTGGGGCCTTATGACAGTTTAGGGTGAGTTGGAGGTTTGTTCAGAATAATGACTTTGAGGCTTGGCCCAAATTGATCTGTTGAAAGACAAACTGCCTCTTTTCTGTAGTGAAAATAATGGAGTAAAAACAGTACTAAAACCCTAGTTGTGGCACCGAGACTTGCAAGAAGAGATGGATCATCATGGAAAACCTCTTATCTACCTCTAGAGATCATGGCAGAGAGGCTATAAGGGTTGCCCATTAAGTCTCTTGATCGATTTAATGGCGTTTACAAGCTTAGATATGGCACTTCCTAATCTCTTGTCCTAAATTTAGTAAACTGAGATTTGAACATGCTCCTCAAAGACCCCAACTCAACACTCAGAAACTCCTGATATCTAGATTTTCCATTTTGGCAATGTAAATGCTCTCCATCGATTCTTTCTGAGGAAGTTAATTTGTCTTTAGCCTTTAGACTGAGAATCATGTTTTGGCAATGTAAATGCTCTCTTAAAGCTAGATTTTCCATTTTACGGTTGGTATGTCGATATTGTGGGTTCATGCAATTGATTGGTTTGCATCTCTTTATTCTTTGGAATATATATATGATCAATTCTTTTTGTGGAACCCCTCAACAGGAGTGTATAGAAGATTGCCAAACCCTGACAATCATTCTGGTAAGGAATCTTATGCTTATGGTTTCGATAATGATTCAAGCTATGATGATAAGTGCAAAATCTTGGAGGAGGATGCCCGTGGAACTCTGTGATTCATATGATTGCCTTAAGGGCATAGGGATTTTCTTCAATGGAGCTCTTCATTGGAAACCTGATATGATGACGATGAAATGCATGCTTTTGATCTAGAAACGGATTCCATGAGGTGCCGCAGCCAGGTTTTCGTACAGAAACGCACAATTCAATTTAATTTAACTTAGTGATTCTCGATGAACACATTTGTTTATCATGTTGCTGTTCACATCGTATAGCAGTCTTGAGCTATGGATCATGAAGGAATATGGGGTGAGCCGGTTGGACAGCTTGATTGTGGAGAAATTGATTATCATGGCAACTTAACATTACTTTGCGCTAAAAAAATGGTTTATAAATAACAATTAACGAAGGAATGGAATTAATAATGTTCAAAACTCCTAGAATGTGTAACAAGAACTAGTTTTGTTCAGAGTTTTACCTCTCCTTTGAATTAAAAAAATATATAATTAATAATTTTCAAAAATTTATTACTGAAGTGCTTTACCTTAATTTAGAAAAAAAAAATCAAATTTTCTTTAAAAATAAATAAAACTAATGTGAAATTGGCACATGACTCTCTCACTACTCCGCATCCTATATTACATATTTAAAAAAAAAAAACTAATTTTAATTTAAACTCCTCATTTGAAAGTCCATCAATTCGGCTATCAGAACAATTTTGTAATCATCAGAGCTTAAATCATATCCGAAACCGTAAGCATTGAACCACCCGGAAATAGATAGAATGTTAGGATTTGGCAATCTTCCAAATACTTCCAGGAAAGAGCTTTAATGCAAACTAATCCTTTGTCTGAACTGGCTATAGTGACATGATTATCTGGTTTCTTAAATGGAAAGTCTAGCTTTATGAGGGCATGTTTATTGTCGAAACATGGTTCATAACCTAAAGAATAAAGAATTTCAGAAGGAAACGATAGAACGAGGTTCTGGGTGTTGATATCATATGGGGTCTTTGAGAAGCATGTTCAAATCTCAGTTTACTGAATTTAGGACAGGGGATTAATCAAATCCATGTCTTGGAAACACATTTAAATCGATCCAGACTTAATGGGCAACCATGATAGTATCTCTGTTATTATTTCTGGAGGTAGGTAAAAATAAGCCGTGTACCCCCTCTTTAGGGTTTAGTCACATCAAGAATTGCAAGATTATCAAAAAAATTAAGGGGAGTGTTGAAACTAATTTTGAAATCTTGAAGACGTAAAAAGTTAGTTTTCCAATATACTAATAATTTGGCTATTATCATTTTAAGTCACTACAGTTATCTTTAGACTAATATAAAAATATATTTGTTGAATTATAATCCAAACCCAAGGCGGAGTCCAAGGTTTTTTCCTCTCACGTGAAAGTCTGATATAGTAATACAAGGCAGAGCAAGTTGCATTCTACCTGCTTCCTTCCAGCTGCCTCCACCCCCAATTTTCCAATTTTTTTCTAACAGAAACTAGACATGTCTTAGCCAGTTGCAGAACTCATTTATGCAGGAGCAACTGTTGAATATTCCTCTGCTGTATACAGTTGCCGAACTTTCTTGCTTGCCAAAAGTTCAGCCTCATTGGAGTCCTTTAATCCAACAGTTGAGAACATGCATCTGAATATGATATAGTAGCTTTTTTGAAATGAGAATAGAAGAATCCGAATCAAAAATCAAAAATCAAAATGTATTTTAATAGTGTTTGAAATAGTAAGAAAGAAAGGAGGTGGGATAATCAAACTGTAAACAAAAAACAAAATTTAAACAAGACTCGTGAGTTTAATGCAAATTTAAAACATTCAAAGCATCCTTACATATCATTCATAAATCTGGAATCCAAGTCTTGATAATCAAACCGTAAACAAAAACAATGAGCACTGCTAGCTACTACACAACAAAACAAGTCCTGATTGATTACCACCAAAATCAAGATGAGAATCTTGTAGCCAAATAGTAAAGAGGTCCATCAACAGAGTCTCTTAGTGTCCTAATTGATTACCACCAACATCAAGATGAGAATCTTGTAGCTAAATAGTAAAGAGGCCCATCAACGGAGTCTCCTAGCTTCTCTCTCAGACTCGAGCAATGTAAGGATGTCACCTTCTCTGACTGGTCCCTTGACGTTCCTCATGATGAATCGGTTCTGGTCATCAATAAACTTGACTCTAACCTGAGTAACCTGTCCTCGCGATCCAGTCCTTCCCATAATTTTCACCACAACAGCATGCTTAATTTGACTATCCATTCTACACAAAAACACCACAGAAGACAGACTCAGCCTCATCCAATCAAAGCATATATGTGGCTTAAATAACAATCACCCAAATTTCCAATTCAAATTGCTAAAAACTCAATCAATCAAACCTTAATCCAAACTATTAGGTATCAAAAAGCACTAAAATTGAAGTTCAAAAATAAGTATGGGTTAGCATTTGGTTTTTCAGTTTGGTATTTTACTATTTCAGCTCGGTTTTCGATTAGCCAAACCACCAAAAACATAAACCCAATTCAAATTGCAATCACCAAATTTCCAATTCAAATTGCTAAAAAACAAAGAAAATACACTTGAGAAAACCCATTTGAGACAAATGAGGATCGGATAATGAAGTTCTCAACTAACAGAACCAACTGAAAGCCCCAAAACCAAAGAGACCAAACTCTAAGAAGCAAAAATTAACACATACTGCATTTGAGAATTCTAATAACTAAAATAACCCAAACCCACTAGAGCTAAAACTAAATAAAGAGAAACCATTTGACAAAGACCAGAATCAGATAATAAATTTCTAAACTTGAAGCACAAAACAAACAAGAACCACAAAAAGCAAACTTTACAGGCAGAGACTAACTAACATACACTACTTTTCAACAAAGCCGACAATGAAATCCCAAAATGGGTTTAACTAGAAAACACCAAATGGCCAATCCATAAAAATAAAGCAAACCCATTAAAGAAATTAAGAGTCGGATACTAAAGATCAAACTATAAACATAACAATGAAGAAACAAAAATACAAAAACTAGATTTTACAAACTACGCTAGACATATAAAGTATTAAAAGAAGAATTAAAGACAACCAAGAAACTAAGGTAGATTACCTGAAGTATGCAGAGAGAGAGGGATAGAGAGTCTCGCACGACTGCTGCCCAGAAATAAAAACCCTAGAGGGGGAGCATTGGCCCGTGTGTTTTTATATATAGTGACCCATCCCCTAAAAATCTGGTACCCGAATTGGTTTGTGTAATTCGGGTTTTTTGTTGAATTGTCCACTTTAGGCCCAAGCAAACTGCTACTGGGCTCCTTATGAAAATGTAATCTCCATTGCTATTGGGCTCACTAGAAAAATGTATAATGCATACTTATTCATTTAGGAGGTTACGAGAATCGAATTTCCATTTTGTCATCGTTAATTGGAATGAACTATAGATTAGTCCCTGTAGTTTTGTAATACGAATTAATTAGTCTTTTTCTTTCAAAAACTAATTATTTAATTTTTTTATCTATTTTATACTTTTTTCTAATTTATTTTTATTTTTTATTTAAAAATAGATAAATAAATAAAGTAAATAAATATTATGGAAAGATTGATGAGAAAAAAATCATTTTTTAAATAAAATAATACGAACTAATTAGTCTTTCTCTTTCAAAAACTAATTAGTTAATCTTTTTATCTATTTTATACTCTTTTCTATTTTTTCATTTTTTTAAAAAATAGATAAATAAAAAATTAAAATAAATATTACGGGAAGATTGATGAGGAAAAAATGCATTTTTTAAAATAATAAATATTAAATTATGTGTGACCAATACTAATCAAAGGACTAAAAAATTAGTTTTATAAAAAGAGAAGAATTAATTAATTAATTTTTTAAAACTAAAATGATTAATTTATAATTTACTCTTGTTGATGGAAAAGGAAAATAAAAAACACGCCCACCTTCCTATTTGTGGAATAATCCAACATATTAGATAGCAAATAAAGCTATACTGGCATCTAGGAAAGAAAGAAAATGTAATCGGGATAATTTCACTATAAATATATAAATTTTTAACTTTTTTTCAATCCAATATATGGATTTTAATTTTTTTTATTTGAATATTTCAACTTCTTTAAAACAATCAATCAAGTTTTCTCGTCAATGTTTCTATTAATTCATGAAGTGTTTATTATCTCTAAAATGCTAAATTACAATTTTTTTCTCTTTTTCTCAATCGAATACATGAATTTTATTTTAATTTTTTTAATACACTAATTTTTTCAAAATTGTCAATCAAATACTTTCAATAATATTTTCATTAACTAATGACGTATTCATTATTTTTAAAATATCAAATCATAATTTTTTCCTTTTTTTATTGAAGAACAATTTCTTCCCAAATGCTCACAAATAATAAATTTTCTTAATGAAAAATCTCACGTTTGTGTTTTTCTTTAATTTTTATGTCTAAATCTAATAGATTTTAATTCAGAGTTTTATAGCTAAAAATAATGTTTTTTTAATTTTTTTTATCAAAATTTGAAAAATATAGAATAATTTGGAGAGAAAATTCTCTTCAACAAAGAGAGGAAAATTTTGTAAGAAAATTAAGTATTTTCATAAAAATCATAAATTTTATGTATCGTGAAAGAAGGTAATAAGAATTGTACAATTAAATATAAACTTTATAACTTTAAAGGGGTGGCTTAGGTTTGTTTTCTTTCTTGACTTTTTAAATTCAAAACTTGGGGCTAGCATTAAAAAAATAAATAAAAAATAAAAATTCTCTTAACATGCTACACAGATATGGAAGTGTATGTCTTTAAGATTATTTGGAGAAAGATTTATTTTCGTTTGACGCTCAAGATGACTCCATGATACTCTTAGCATTGAATTTTATATATATATATATATATATAAATTTTAAAAATAAACCTATTAATCTTTTAAAAATATTATACAATTTTTTTAATCCGTTGTAGTGTAAAAAAATAAGTTATTTGTATATTTCACTTCTATCAAATGTTACGATAGCTACAATCTAAGAGAAACCACGTAGAAAAAAATTAAGAAATTGAAATGCCACAAACTACAGAAAAAAAAAGGATGGAACTAGAGAAAGTGAGAACATATGATTTAGACATAGCCATATAACTAGTTTTTTGTGTATATATATATATATTAAAAGATAAATTATAAAAATAAACCTATTAATCTTTTAAAAATATTATAGAATTTTTTTAATCCGTTATAGTATAAAAAAATAAGTCATTTGTATATTTCACTTCTAGCAAATTTTACGATAGCTACAATCTAAGAGAAACCACGTAGAAAAAAAAATAAGAAATTGAAATGCCACCTACTACAGAAAAAAAAAAAAAAAAAGGATGGAACTAGAGAAAGTGAGAACATATGATTTAGACAGCCATATAACTAGTTTTTTTGTCAATAATATGCTATAGGTTGGATAAAATATATAAATTCATTATTAAAAATTATTTTAGTTTGATGGTCTGTTTTATGATATGAATATATAAAAATATATGAAATCAGAGGTGAAAAAAATTATTTATAATAGTTTAATAAAAAATTTTGTATTTAACTATTTTTATTTGTGTTTTTCATAATTTTTCCTTTATAAAAAGGATTTATCCTTGTTAATTCATGGATTATTAACTAAAAAAACCTTTAGTATTTCATAAAATTATGTTGAAAAAAAAATAACAATTATTAACAACTTATATAGAATTAAAAAAATAATTTTTTTTGTTTTTATTTAATGTTGATGAGAATATCAATTTTTGAAAAAAAAAGTGAATTTAATTTTTATATATTTATTTATAAAAGAACGAATAATATTAAAATAAAAAACTATATTAATTTGAATCATTGAGTGGTTAAAGCAAAACATAATTTTAATTATTTAATTTAAAATAATTAATTTTAAAATATTTAAAAAATATAAATAAATAGTAAATGCTTAGTGTAGTAGTAGTTGCACGGTATTTCTAAAAAAACAACGATTCAATATTTTTTTACACATTACAATATAACTAAAAGATCTAGAGTATATCCACAGTAAGTGAATAGTGATGAACAGTACTTGGTTCTTTTATTTCTTTCATTCGATTTTTTTTTTCTGTTGGGCTAACTAGCAGCCAAGGCTTGGCTCTTGGGCAAGCACGCACCGAGCCTTGGCGCCCGACTCGGTCGCCTCTTTCCTCCTTTTTTTTTTTCATATAGCCAAGCCTTGGTGCCCGGGTTGATATTTTTTCCTCTTTTTTTTCTTTTTTTATCTTCATATATATATATATATATATATATAGGGCTCATGATTAACAAATATATTTTTAGGTTACGATGGCCAATTTAAAACATTTTTAAATTTTAAATTTATTTTAAATTGGTAATGGTTGATAATTTTTTGATATAATTTTATTTTTTAATATATATTTTTATATAACTTTATTTCTTAATAAATTTGATTTTTTAATATATAAATTTTAAGATAAATTTTTACAACGTCAATGTTTTATTTTTTAATATATATATATATATATATATATATATATATAGAGAGAGAGAGAGAGAGAGAGAGAGAGAGAGAGAGAGAGAGAGAAGATTATGTTTTAGATAGTTTGACTCAATTTTTTTTTAAAAAAAATAATGAGTTCAAAAATTCACAACTTTTATTTTCTTTTATATATATATTTATTCAGAATTTATTAGAACCAATTTTGTTGTAGTTTTTATTTATCTACGGTAAGTAAATAGTGATGAACGAGTATCCAGTTCTTTTGTTTCTTTTGTTCGGTTTTTTTTTTCTATCGAGCTAACCAACGACCAAGGCTCGTCTCTTGGGCAAGCACGCGCCGAGCCTTGGCTGCCCTACTCGGCTGCTTCCTTCCTCCTTTTTTTTTTTTTTCCCATATAGCCAAGGCTTGGTGCTCGGGTTGGTATTCTTTCCTTTTTTTTTTTTGTCATATATATATATATAGGGCTCATGATTAATAAATATATTTTTAGGTTACAATGCCCATTTTGAAACATTTTTAATTTTTAATTTTATTGTAAATTTATAATGGTTGATAATATTTTGATATAATTTTATTTGTTACTATATTTGTTTTGATATAATTTTATTTCTTAATAAATTTGGTTTTTTAATATATGAATTTTGAGATAAAATTTTACAACGTAAATATTTTATTTTTAAAAAATATATTATTATAATTTATAAAATAAATTATTTTTATATTTTTAAATGAGTGTTTTTTTATAATATATATATATATATATATATAGAGAGAGAGAGAGAGAGAGAGAGAGAGAGAGAGCGTCAAATGTATGTTTTAGATAGTTTGACTCAATTTTTTTTAAGAAAAAATAATGAGTTCAAAAATTCACAAGTTTTATTTGCTTTTTTATATATATTTATTCAGAATTTATCAAAATTAATTTCGTTATATTTTTTATTTTAATCTATTGACTAGTCATAACTATACTAAGTGAGTTCGAGTTTTCAGTTTAAAACAAAAAATAATATATATATATATATATATAAGAGTTAACTTTCAAGGAATCTATTGACTAAATTTAAAATTAATAGACTAAAATAAAAATTATTTCAAATTTGATTTTGATTAATTTTGATTATATAAAGAAGAAACAAATTAAGAAAACATGTGAATTATTTTTTTCCCTCCTTAAATAATTTTTTATTTCTATGCTATACATGGCTAGTCTTTGAATACATGCCTCATGCGTAGAGCAACCATCTTCTTTTTATTTTTCACATTTGACTTTCAACTATTAATTAACTAATTTGAGTTTTTAAAAAAAAATCAAGAAAAAATTATTTGAAATACACTTTTAATCTAAAAAATTATTTCGGACATGATTATATATATTAATCATGTCGCTATAATTTTAAAATTATTTAAATCCATTTTTCAAAAGAAAAATAATCATGTTCTAAAAATTTATTTCAAAATCCATACATATAGAAAAATAAATCAAAATTGTCAATAAATATAATTTTAAATTAATTAGATGAGAATTTTTAAAAAATAACAAATTAAATTAGTAAATTTTAAATAATAAAAATACTTAACAAAAAAAATTAAAACAAAATGGGACCAAATCACAATACAATTAAAGTTTAAAATTGAAAAAAAAAATGTATAGAAAAATTGAGGACCATATAATTTTAAATTAATTGGATGAGAATTTTTTTAAAAATGATGAATTAAAGTAGTAAATTTTAAATGATAAAAATAATTAACAAAAAACACTAAAACGAAATGGGATAAAATCAAAATATAATTAAAGTTTAAAATTGAAAGAAAAGAATTTAAAAAATAATGACAAATTAAAATAGTAAATCTTAAATAATAAAAATAATTAACAAAAAACACTAAAACAAAATTGGATCAAATCACAATACAATTAAAGTTTGAAATTAAAAAAAATATATATATATATAGAAAAATTGAGAATCAAAGTACTATAAAAATATTATAAATAGTGAAAAGAATAATAATTTATGAATGTATGAATAATATTACGAATAATAAAATATTATTTTATTTTAGTATTTTTTACTATATATTAACCTGCGATTCGCTGGGAGGTTTTCTTTCTTCTTATTGTTTTTGTAATGCGGCAAGGGCAATGGAGATATAAAAAAGAAGGTTTGGTGCTTTTTTTTTTTTTTTTTTTTGGGGGGGGGGGGGGGGGGGGGGTGGTTTCCTGTGTTATGAATGACCATAAAAGCAATTGCAATCGTAGTTAAATTTTTTTTTTTTTTTTTCATGTAATATAGGGACACAAAGCTTGAAGTACAAAAGCACAAAGATAGATAAATGATTTGACAATAAAAAGATATGCAAATAGACAAAGCTAGGTAGAAGCTGTATTTTTTGTGTAGATGGCCAAGCATTCCGATTTTTGTTATTGAATAAATTAGTCACGTGGAAACTTGTGTGAAAGTAATGATTTTTCAGGGGACACAATTTTATTTTATTTTTTTTTGAGTAATTGTCTCAAAAGAAATTGCTGGAACAATGTTTTGGTATGTTGAGCGACGGAGCAGGCACCATTAGCATTATCATTGATTGTGCTTATAAATTTAGTATGTGCTACATTTATTTTGTAGAAAGACTGGTTTATGTTTTGAAGGAAGGGAAAAGGTGCATAGAAATGATTTATATTCAGACGATAGCATTGAAATAATGCCCTGACCTGGATCAGCATTATTGTCATCGTACACAGCAATTACGACAAAATGATGGTCTAATATTGACTGAAAATAGTGATTAAGTCGAACCGTAAATATTTTTTGTTGATTCAGAGCATTGATCAATGGTGGTGGGAAGTAGGCATGTGAGTTCCATCCATAGCTTTGCACAATTTGTTGGCAGCTGATTTGAAAGTATGTCGCCGCTACGTTTCCTGCCAGTAGAATTCTTGCTTCGCTAACGCCATCTGACATGAAAAAGTGCACTCTCTTCTTCTTGCAAACTTCAAGCACAGTGGGCGTGATAATTACCACCATCCATATCAGAATGTTGTGTCTATCATAATTATTGATGCTTTGATCGTGTAAGCAATCATCCACAAATAAGTTAATATATAATCTAATATAATGTAATGGCAAGTTGTTTTCTTTAATTGTTAAAAGGTGGTACCAACTCTAAAAAAGCTTCCAAACTCATGACTATGAAAGAATGATTTGTAAGATAGTATATAGGCTAAAGAATATATTGTAGTTATTCGTAAGGGTAGTGAATAAATTATAAGTTAGACCCTTTAGTTTTTCAAAATGAATTAACGGTTATTTTAATTTAAAAATTAATCAATTAGTTTTATAATCCATTTCAAAAAAAAATTTCGTTTTATTATTATTTTTTTAATAAATAAGAAAAGAAAAAAATATAAATAGATAATATGAAAAGATTAATGATTTTTTTTAAAAGAAAATAAAATAACATTAAGAAAAGAATGATTGCCAAGCAAATGATTTTATATTGTAGATGATATTTTGATGTGCAAAAATAATTAGAGTTAAGAGTATTATTATATCAGAGGTTGAAACAAAGATAGAAACCTGGAATAATAGATGTTGAACATGTGATCTTTGAAATCAGTTAACTATTTAGGTTGCTGGCTGACATGTTATTTCATTAATAAGGTTTTAAGATTTTGTAATATATTTTCAACTGGACAGTAGAGAGTTGCAGGTAATATGAATGCTCGGTTGCAGCTATAAGCTACAGTTTGGCAGGGTGTTGATAAATGGATAATTTATTGCATCGTTTTTTTTTTTTTTTTCACTTGTACACTGGAACAGGGTCGTCTTTTTTAGCACTTTGCATATCTAAGCTATAGGTGAGTGGGTACTGATTGGTTTTCTTTTCCTTTTTTTTTTTTTTTCCAATCATCATGTGTGTTAAACAATGAGATTGCAGTGTATCTTTATAGTGGTTGAACAAAGTACTAAACTGTGTGTTTTAGAATGAAGAAATATCATTTTACTTTATTTATTTGGTCATCCATTAAGCTCACATTTGTTGCTTTTCTCATCTTCTTTTCTGCAATGTAATTATGTCTTGGAATGTCAAAGACACCTGTTCTCCCTCACTTTATTAGGTGTAACACGTTAAGGCAAAGAAGGCATGCACATATTGCCATCCTTCCTCTCCTTGCTAGAAAGGCCTTTTGGAACTGAAATATCTGATTCTTTCAAATTGCATAAGTAATGCTGCTGTTGAAGCTAAGTATAAGGATGGATTGCATCCACAAAGTTCTAAAGCTACAATCAATGCCAAATAATTTTACTATTGCCACCACGAAAGCAAAAAGATGTGTCCTCTAATCTTGGCATGCGTTGTTTGTAGACGATAAAAGGGTCATTTCAATATACATTAAATGGTTTGTAAGTAGGGGTGAGCAAACATCGGTTAAAATAAAAAAACCAAACTAAAATACCTATTTTGGTTCAGTTGTTTGTTTAAATTTACTTAAAAAAACTAAACCAAAATTATATTGATTTTTGGTTTCGATTTCTAAAAAATTTAAATCAATGTCAACCTAAAATTGAATATTTTATCTAATTTTATTTTATTTAAATTGAAATGAACTTAAAGTTTATTAAAAACGAAATTAGCTCATAGTTTTTTATTGACTTCTTAAACTTTAACCACACCCCACAAGAGGCCATGAATTTTGAAGCCCAACAAGCCCACCTTACTTGCCATAGCCTTGCGAAAAAAGAGACCAAGTCTGTCTTTATTTATAAGCCAACTCCCACCGTTCAAAAGTAAAACTAGCCAATGTGGGATATAGGCATATTAAAAGGTGAGTTCACTAATAATCCCACATCGAAAGTGAACAATTTTTCAAGAGTCCGAAAGTCGATAACAAGGCGAGGGTGGGTGTCCTTGTGCATCTTGAACCACTCTCTCTTGGTTTGTCATGAGTAAGTCTTTAGGTTCTTAGCAACCAAATAATAATTTTTGATGAATTCGGTCAATACCAAAAATCAAAATTTGAAATTGAAATTTAACAACTAAATTATAATTTGGTTCGGTTCGGTTCAATTGTTATTTTATTGTGTTCGATTAACCAAAAACCAAACCAAAATTGTTAGAAACCGAAATGAAAAACCATTTGCTCACCTCTATTTCCAAGAACACCATAGGCTACATTTAAAGGCATTATACAAATTTATAATATCAAGGGTGGTCTAGAAAATGTCGGTTGAAGTCATTTACAAAGAGTAAACACATTTTATTTATAGAGATCTTTTTGGATACATCAATTGGTCCGGAAAAACCACGTAGATTGTATCCGAAACCATTATAAAAATTCATAATATCAAGGGTGGATGAGTATGCATTGCATAATTAATGTTGCTATCGAAGTTAAATATAAGAATGGGTTGTATTCATAAAAGACCAAGGCTACAATTAATGTGATTTTTTTTTCCTACAAAATCAAGAAGGTATGTCAACTAAATATTGGCATGCATAGTTGCTATATGATAGAAGTTATATTAGCATACATCAAACGATTTGCAAGAACAACATAAATTACATTCAAAGGCATTATACAAATTCATAATATTATAAGATAATGTCGGTTGAAGTCATTTAGATAGAGCAAGAACATTTTATTTATCGAAAATAATTGAACGAAAAAGAAATATATCATAATGTGGCTACGAAGTGAAAAAGCAAGGCTGAATAAATATTACAGCGACGAAACCAATCGATATGCCGTATAAAAAAAATGAAAAAATATGAGGGAACAAAGTGAAGAAAGGCGAGAAAAATGAATTAAAAAGGCAAACCTATTTCAACTACAAATAGAGCAACCGATCGACTATTGATGTCTATCTTTTTGAAGCAAAATACACTGGATGAGGGCAACAAAGTGGCAATAACTGAAAATGAACAACACAATTTCAAAAATGACAAATAAAGCACATACATAAACACATACATCAATGATGCGATTCTATACGATGCATGAACCACAAAGCAACGACTGTGAGATGTAAATATTAAAGGAAAGAAAAACAAATAAAGACATAGTTGAAAGTAAAAAGGGACCTTCTTTTAAAGAAAACATTGATACAAAAGAGCGACCAAGGGCAAAAAAAAATGATCAAATAATTTGTACAAATTATACTTGCTAAGTGTAAATGACTAGTAATAAGGGTAAAGGTAAAGCCGAGCACACAAAATCCTTTAATCTAGAATTGCATTGATGCCTTCAAAAATGCCAACCAATATAGTGACTTAATCTTGTGATAGGATATACATATTGCAAAAAGGCAAATTAGTAGTACAATAGAAACGTGGATGCTTTTTTGGGCATCCTAACAAGTAAAGTAAGAAAGAACGCACAAAAGAAGCAAAAGAACATGAATTGTAATGAACCAAATGTAATAAAACCAAGAACTACAATAACCTAACTAATAAGGAAGAAGCATCATAAATTAAATGGCAATGAACCTTAATAAAAAAAACCAACGAAGAGAACCAAAGGAAAAAGAAGAAGAAGAAGCAAACATAGGGAAAAAAAAAACAAATATACGAAAATAGAGGTAGGAAGAAAAAAAAAGCTTACTCGTGAAGAGCAAGGAAAAAGGCACTTAAAATAAACGTATAATCCAAAGCTACGAAGAAGGAAAAACTACAACAAGCGCAAAGGAAAAAGGACAACATGGCGGTGGCCTCATCTTTAACTTAAAACTTTAAATACGAGTTCACTACGACCATAAATTAAATATAATAGAAATGCATAAGCGAGTTACACATAGCAGAAACGGACCTATATAGAATACACAATGAATACAACGGAGACAAAAAGCAAAATAAACGAAATCCTTTTTTTTTTGTTGGAGAAGTTGTTTTTAGAAGGACCCAACAGCAAGCTAAAGACAAGCATGTAAGATTGCATAAGATGAAAAGTTAACTACATTTAAAGTAATGTGTAGAAAAGATATATTTATACACACGAATTAATTTCTCTTTTTTTAGTTTATTTAGAAGGAGAGTAGAGAGGAAAGGTTTAGATGGAGAGGGGAAAAAGATAACCCATCCATGTTATGCCCTATCTCCTAAACTAATAAAAAATGTGACAATAAAAGCAAAAAATGATCATAATTTTTTCCTCGGGTGTTACATCCATCCCAACTAAAAGTGGTAAACCTTTTGGTTTATGACATTGCAAAGCAGAAATCCCCTTGGTGAATATAAGTAATGCATATAAGGATAACTACATTGCAATCCGTAGAAGTATATAACCACTATACCATCCTGTATTGACGAGCTACGTTGCTAGATGAGCTTGGCAATCCCCCAAACATAAGCAAATCTTAGCTAGATGTAAATCAAATATCAAGACCACTCGCCGAGATCATTTATAAATCGACCTATATAAAGCACTTGTGATCGGCATCTTTAAGGCCAAATCTTTGTTTTCTTGCAAATACTCATAGATGTTCTAATTACGACCATATGAACAATAACTTAAACGAGTAACCGCATTCCACCGAATTTGTGTCTTAGCTAAAGCTTAAATAGGTGTAAGTTCATAACAATCCGCATAATGTGGTTGAATTGCCTTTTTTTTAAAAAAAGTAAGAGACAACTAAGACCAAAGTATTACTATTTCCTTCCTAACTAATCCATCATTCCTAAATAAATCCATCAAGAAGAACAAAGGCCAAATCAGTTCTCAAGGCACCACTCAAATATTAACGAAATTCTTAACAAAGAGCGAGCTTAATTAAATCCTCAAAGTTTTAAAAAAACACCCGACCTAACTTTGTAACATACTTGCCAAAGAAAAGAGCAATTGGACATTAAGATCCCTACAAAACAACATCATTATTAAGATAATTTTTTATAGTCAAGGAGCTAACCACCTAAGGTAGACAACAACATCATTTTTTTGCAATGAAGTAGGCGACCAATAAGCCTTCATCTTTTTCGGACCATGGATCTTTTGTTTCAATCATAAGCTCGAGCATATTCTAATCCCCATAATCTATAGTCAATAAGTAAACATTAATCATAATTTCCCACTAAATCCGAAGACTTGTCACGCGACTATTCTCATCTAAGCTTCCTTATCAACTTCCTACATCCGAAGACTTGTTAAGTTATATGTTAAATGACTTTTATCACAAAAACCCCTATGAACTTCTTAAACCCGAAGAGTCCTTAAGTTATGTGTGTGTGTGTGTGTGTGTGTGTGTGTGTGTGAAAGTGAGTGAATATTTAAAAGGAGTAAGCAAGCATTCATTATGCAATCATCCATAAAGTTGATGAACGGAATTTTAAATTATAGTTTTCCTAACGTTGATTTGAAGGATAAGTTTGTCATAATCTATCATTTTCATGAATAAAATTTCAAATTATAGTTTTCCTAACCATATTTCATGGATAAATTCATGGTAACCTATCGTTATTGAAACCCCTAGATAGAAAAAAGCGACATTGATTTAAGATTAAAGAATTTATAGAATCTAAGAACAAAATAAAGCACATCTATGAAATAAATTAAGAGGTGTTTGATTAGTCAAAAAGCCACAAAAGGTTTGTCTCCTCCGCTGTAATTAGCAATAGACTGAAATAAAAGGCTACATTAACCTTATAAGGATAGTGGCTAACAAAGCCGATGAAAAGATGAGCTTTGTAAGAGGTTTGGTTTTGCATACATCCAGATTAAACAAAAAAAGGTAAAAAGAAAACGTGGTTTCAAAACTCACGACCCCTAAACCCACTATGCTCTTTCTAAACTATCAATGTATTGCTACCATCTCAAGTTATGCATTTGGTTTTGCATACATCCGGATAAAAAAAAAAGGTAAGAAGAAAACGTGATTTCAAACCTCAAAGCCCCTAAACCCATCGTGCTCTTTCTAAACTATCAATGTATTGCTACCATCTCAAGTTAAGCATTTAAAAAAGGCACCTTAGAAAAGTTTGGAGACTCACCAATAATAACGAGTGGCATCAAGAGGCCTTTACATTATTTCAATTGCCTTTTCTCTTGTTAGAGGCCAAACAATAAGCTCGCAAAATGTTCCAAATGTCGGAGCAATTAAGACAATATATCGAAGGTAAATGTATTCGGTAGTTAAACACGTACTCATACATGGTAACTTTATACTACAAACACAATGCATCTTTTAAAAAGAAATATGACCATCGGTGTGGGGTAGCTGAAAGAAAATTGGATAGTTATCGATAAAATCAATTGCCTTTTCTCTTCTTAAAGTTCATACAATAACGTGCGAAATGTTCCAAATCTTATAGCAATTAAAACCATACACTAAAGCCAAATGTTTTCATTAGTTAAACATGCACTCATACATGGTAACTTTATACTCCAAACGAGAATGCATCTAAGTATCAACTACAAAATTGATGTGAAGGAAAAATTATATGTCCATAAAAAAAACCCCCTTTGTTATCCTTCTCAAAAGAGATTACTACCAAGTTACATCTCATAATGGAAGCTTAGTGATGTCGCGCATATGAATTTATGAATTATGTGTCCAGTTTATATAAGTTTGCTACACTCTAAAACAATTTTCATTTTTTGTAGGTGAAAAAGATGGCGCTCTTTGCTATGAGTGTTGTTGTAGCTCGAAGCCAAAAATCTAACTTCTTGATTAGACCATTTTAACCGTAGGCCTTATTAAATCTCACCAACCCTTTTCTTGTTTTGTTGTTGGGAAGCCGTGATTTGGGAGGTCAATAAATTTTATAGATGTCTTTCTTAATCTATCCATTTATCTACTCGTAGCGAAATAAAGTATACGATTTTCTTTTAAAGTCTTGGTAGTTGCCGACTTCGATTTAAATTGAACCCTCTATGATAATTTAAAATTTGATAGATTTAGGATCATATAGGAAAAAGGGAGATTCAATATTACAATTGATCTAATAACCTTGATTAAATTCAATCGAGTCGTTGAATCACAACACTGTCGATGTAAGAATACGTGTGAAATGGAATTTCTATGAGATGTTGATCCACACATGAACCTATTATTTTTGGAAGGTGCAATTTAGTCCTAAAAATAGAAAATGATATGTAGAAGATATGGATTACTCTAAGCTATAGAATGTGTTCTCTTTATCTTCTAAGTGGCTTTTACAATATATGAAAGATAATATTTTTTATGTTAAGGTCATCGAACATTCTCGGTATTGGTTTTAATCTATCATTAAGGTATTTGTATTTTTTGAAAAGGGAGTGAGTAGACACCATTGAAGTTGCTGAGTGTGGAAGGTTTGCAGCAGAGAGTTCCAACTAAAGAGAATGAAGACAAGTTGCTACCTTAACAATAATAACGAAAGGCACCAGCTCAAGTTTGATAAATGAGATTAGTAGAGGAGGTTATTACACATCATCTAAAGAGCTTAAGGACTTTTCAACCCCTTCCATATTTAGAATGCCTTAAAAAAATCTAGAAACAATTGATATTTGACCCAAATCACCTTCATGATTTATATCTTTTGACATAATGATAGTTCCTAATCTAATTTTATAATTTTAATCAATGAAGTTTGTTTGAGGCATTTCATCAAATACGCATCATGCGATTGCCACAATAAACCCAACATTCACTAAATGACTAACCCTATCCTATACAACTCATAGTAAATACAATAAATAGATTGGAAAAACCAACATATCATTACATCAATCTTGATTTTCAAGAGGTGTAATTAAGCAAATGCTTGAATATAAGAGATATGAACTTAAAATACCATAGAAACAGGACAACACCAAACCAAATCGTAGGTGTCACCCAACCGTAGGAAGAGGATGAAGAGGAGAGAAAAAAAACAAAACACAAGTAAGAGAACTATAACAACCACCTATAATTAGAAAATGATATGAACATATAAAGGGAAATGAAAAAAAAAGTAAATTAAGCAAATAGATAAAAGAAAAAAAAAGCAAACACCATAAACCAAAGGAGAAACACTGCAATTTAGAGGGAAAGCAATCGAAAACAAAGAAAAAAAAAAAGGAACAATGACTAAAGTAGGAGAGACAAAATGGAAGGGACAAAAGAGAAAGGTGGGTTATTCTAAAACGAGCAAGATAGGTAATGATGTAAAAATGTGCAAAGAAAAAAATCCCAAAGAAGTCAAATCAATTTAAAAGAAACGACGAGTAGAGTGCAATGTCGGCGTTCCACGACCAAAATGAGTAGCAAATAAGTCAAATCGAGCAACGAGAAAGGAAAAAAGATAAGCAAATGAGTGACCAACAAAGCTGAATGAGAAAAGAAAAAAGAACTTATCTAGTTGCACCAAAAGGTAGAGGTGAAAGGAAAATTACAACAAAAAACCAGCAACCCGAGTGTCCCTAAAACAATTAAAAAGAAGAACACCAAGATTAGACAATGTGCAACAACACGAAAGCAAATAACCATAAGGCAACTTTGTAAGGATGAGAACCCAACCAAAAACAATTGAAACATAACAAAAAAAAAAAAGATCCTTATAGTTAGAGGAACAAAACTAAATTGTAATCCCAACCACAAACGAAACGATGGGATATGAAAAATTTGGCAACACTCATGAGGCCCTAGTGTGGCAAGCATCCAAACCAGCAAAAAATAGGTGAGGAGATGACCGTAAACCATTTAATGCTCCTTAGAAAAATAAGGTAATAGGAACCAAAAAAAAAAAAAAGCAAGCAAGGAAAGGTATAAAAGTAACTTCGATAAAAGAGGTCCTACTGTGGCGAGAATTCAAATTGAGAAAATGAAAAAAAAAAAAAACATAGGCCAAAAAATGAGTGTAGGCCATTTAATACTTCTTAGAAGAATAAGTAAAGTGAGTAAAGTGACGAAAATGGAAACAAAATGAGGGGTAAAAATAGGAAGCAAATGAGGGTATAAAAGTAACATGATATAAGAGGAAAATGACAAAAAAGCAATTAAGCATGCAAGTTGAGGGCCCAAATGAGTAGCATAAAGCAAAGGTAGTAGCTAGGCAAAGAGGAAAAAAAACATGGGGAAAGGACGCCAAATGAACGGATGCATTAAAAAGCAAAGGGAGTGAACGGTCACCTTGAATCCATAATGCAACCGAGTGAGAAGGAACGGTTTAGGAACGGGAAATTGACCACGTGATTTTATTTATTTTGTAATAATATCTCTTTGCCTCTACTCTCTCTCATCTTGGAAGGTTTTGGATTCGAGTTATGAGAATAGTGTTTTATACTCGAAATGAGTTTTAACATTCTTATATACGAAGTTCTAGATTTGAGCAACTATAACGAGTGTTCTTGACTTTTCAATAATGTAAAAATTATGAGGAGTTGTTTCATGCTAAAAATTAAAGTTTTAGGGAAAAAAATCAAAATTTGAATTGTAAATTAAAAAATTGAAATGATATATATTTTTTAATATTATATTAGAATAGTAATAAAGTAGTAGAATAAAATTTAAAATGAGAGAATCATAATTATTTTTTAATGATACAAGGTTTGAGCTCATTTGTCTAAAAAAGAGTCCAATAGTCGACCGTAAACTAAATATGTTTTGACACTAACTTAGCCAAAGAAGTGATAGATTTAGTTTTGACTGATGCAACAATTGACTAAAAAATAACCTACTATCTACGTGTACGCGCGCGCGCACACACACACACACATATATAAAATTTAGAATGATAGAGTTAATTACAATGAGGATGATAGAGGTGTTTGTAATAGAATAACAATGGTTGTAGTAATAATTAAGGGTGAGCAAACGGTTCGGTTAACCAAAAATCGAATACAACCAAATCGAATTATGAAATTTGGTTCGATTTAAAGCCATAAAATTTAAAATTTATAACCAAATCGAAAAACTAAAATTTAATTTGATTCGGTTCGATTTTTGAAAAAAAATTCGATTCAAATCGAAAACCGGAATGAACATTGAAAAATTGAAAGTTGTAAAATTTCTAATCTAATTGTAATTTCTAAATCCCTAACCCTAAGTAAGTCCATAGCTAGCTAACGCCGCATGCCACGCTCTCTTTCAACTTTCTTCTTAATTCTTATCGTCTTACTATACTCGGTCATTGGCTCACCGCTTCGTCTTCTTCCCAAACCTCCTTCGGCTTCATTTCCTTCTTCTCCGATCTCCACTCCAATCCTCCTACCCCCGAGCTCCGGCTTGCTCACCCATCACCCCTCACAATTCGAAGTCACAACCCCCGTCATCTTTCTCCGATCTCACGGAGTCACGATCATTGTCATCGGTCACCATCCTTCTCCTTGGCTCCTCCTACTCGAGCCGCCTCAATCGCTTCTTGCCGGTTGCCTCTTCGTGTCTTCCTTTTCTCACGAGCTCTCCCTATCTCCCAAGGTCGAGTCTCTTTTATTTATTTATTTTTATTTTACTAATAACAATAATGTATTGGCAAAAGAATGTATAGGTTGAATTCTTATTAACTTGTTTATATGGAACTATGGTCTATGGAAGTCCATGTTATTTTCCCCGATTTCCTCTCGTTTGATGATTGCTTGATTGGTGGTCTCGACTCTCGTTGTGTTGAACTCGTTGATGAGTTTTTTTGTTGTTCATTGTTTGATGGTAGAGAATTTGATGTTAGTTTGCCTAACCAATAATTAATTTTTTTATAGATGATTTAGTTTAATCATGTAACGATTGAATCAATCATGGATGAGAAAATGAGTCCAAGAATCATTGGTCCCAAGTTCCCTTTGCCATTAGCTTGTCAACTCCAAGGTTTAATGATCCCGATCCTTTCATAAATGAATCAAACAAAAAATAAAATAGATAATAATCACATTCATGTCAATACATAGTGCTTGTAATTTCGAATCTTCTCAATGAAAATGGGGTAGCTTATCATATATTTCTTTACTTCTACTTCGACTAGATTTAAGCCTACATAAGAGTTAGATATAAGAGCAAACCGGGTAATTAAGGTGCAATCAATACGTAGATTCCCGATAGCTTGGGAGGGTAAACCGTCATATGGAATCCCTGCTCTTGGTCGGAAAAAAGCCCTCATCAAAACATAGTACTTAAATTGTGATATAAGAGAAACTAGTTACGAGTGGTTTGTGTACGTGTTGTGTATTGCAAACCAAAACTTTCAAAATCATCAAATTGAAAAGAAGTAGGAGAGTGTCCGTGTGTGTTTTGGTGGTGGATTGGTAGGGCATGTAAGTTAAATTGCAAGGGATAAACATAGTGTAGGTTCTCATGTTTGGATAAACCGATAAACATAGTACTTAAATTGTTTAAGTTAAATATAGTACTTATGCAGATGAAGACATGAAGTAATGGAACTATGGAAGTATGGAACCCTAGCGAGATTTGAGGCAAAACAAATAGCTTCTATTAGTTAGAATTCTATGGTTGACGAGTTGAGTTATGGGATTAACCGAGGTGGCAACTTAAGTAAAAAATTTAGGATATTTTCTAATGATTTAATTATTGGAGAAGAGTTGGAAAACAATGCAGGAATTAGAATCTCTAGTGGTTTACACTCGAGGCCCGATTAGAGCGAGGACGGAAAGGCACTTTGAGGCTACCATAGAAGAAGAAATAAGACAGAAACAAAGTAGAGGGATGAGATAACAAAAAAATTACGCTAGATACCCATCCTTCAAATGCGTATCGAAACTTTTGATTATGAAATCGAAGAAAATAACTCCAACATGGCAACACATAGACATAGGTAAGCGACTTATTCTAACTTCGACGTAACTTAAGCTTTCATGATTAGGAAAAGAGCTAGCGAGTATGAATATTGTATCGCTTTTGAATTGTAGACTAGGAATGGAATGCTACCGATTTTACTTTTATTTTTTCACGACAATATAGGTTGCGGTGTTACACCATGATCGAAGCCCCCGGCAATGACTTTTGGCAATCTGTTGATTGGATGTCTCTTCACTCATCAAACCCATCCCCTCTCTTTTGACCACTCTTCTAACTTTGGAAGGCAAGGGTGTGTAAACTTCGTTATTGGTAGACACTTACGGACATTCCATTTTCTTAAATATTTATCTTGTATGGCTAAACAAGTTTAATGGTTTTTAATAGTTTTCCCCTCAAATGGTTGCAAAGGTCGAAAGATGAGGAAACTTCATACTTCTTCGCTTACGAGTATGACTTTGGCAAGGATGAATTGTGAATATGTTCGTGTTTTTATAGCATAAGCTTTACATTTATCGAAGAACTCTCTCAATAAGTTATGTTAATATCATGTTAAATAATCATTTCAATCATGTGAGGATAAGGCTATGGGATATGATTTTATTCAACTCTTTTAACACTTTTAAATTTTACGGCAAAGTGGCATTTCGTTTTCACAAATTATGGGATGAAATAAGATTCGATTTTGCAAATTAGTTATGATTAATCCGACGAGTGAAATGTTTGTTTTATGCGACATGATAATGGTGACAAGTCATCTGGTTATTAAGGGTTGACGAAATGCATCTCTTAAAGCACTTGTGTGTTCAAAGGAAAATCACAAGCAAGTCGGTAATTTTGATACGTTGTGGGCTATTTCAAGAACTCAATAAGTATTTTTTTTTTTTCACAAGCAACAAAATTTTGGTTAAAACCAAATTATTTCGTTATCGAACCGAAATAATTCGATTACAAACCGAATTAATTTTATTTCAGTTTTGGTTTTCATTTTTCCTAATTCGGTTAATAAAAAATCGAACCAAATTAAGCTTAATCGACCCGTTTAACCAAATGATCACCCCTAGTAATAATAGTAATATAGTAATAGTAATAATATATTTTTTAAAAAATTAATGTCACAACTATATAAGATGGTAATGAGAAAAAAACGATAGTGGTGGTGATGGAAGAATAATTGCAAAATAATAATAATAATCATTTTTATAAAAAAATTAATTTCACAACTATAAAAGATGATAACGAGAAAAAAACGACAATGGTTGTGAAGGAATGATGGTGAAATAATGATAATGATGTTTTTTTAACAAAAAAATATCACTAATGGTAGTGGTGGTGATGCTGATAATAAATGTAATACTAGTGGTAAAAGTAATTGACATATAATAAATAAAAATAATATATCACTATTGTGGGGAAAAAAAATTGTATTCTTATTTTTTGTTTTCACTCCCACTTTTTTGCATAAAAATAAAATTATACTTAACTTTTATTTTTATTCTTATTTTATTTCTTTCAACTAAATATTTATAAAATAACACTAAAACTTTCATTTATATTTCTACTGTTTTATTATTATTATTATTATTTATTACTAGAGAACACATGAGAGCCATGATTACCATATAGATGGACCCATGACCCTAGGCATCCCAACAATGTTGCACAAAGAAACCCTAACGAAAGAAGCATAGGGCCTCGCTGAACAAGATTCGTTCAATATATGTAGCAGCCCAAGCTCATTGATTGACCAGACAAGTCCATAGTAAAAGGTCCAACAAGAATGGTCTGTTTTGTCTACAGACAAAACCCATTTGGCAATTCTTCTTCAGCTCTTGCAGAAAACCCCGAACGTTAAACCCTACTAGAAGAGCTCCTTTTCCCCTTCAAAGCTCCCTCCAGCCAGCCAGCCGGCCAGCCCCCGTTTTTTCTTTCTTTCTCTACTAAAAATAATCAATCTTTTCTGGATTTGTGTTTTTATACTGAATATTAACAATAACCATGAAAGACAATAATCGGAGGAAGAGAGGAGGAGGCCCCCTGGAAGAAACAAGAGGGGCAGCAGCAAATTTTCTATGAATAGAGATCCCTTTTTCAGCAACAGTAAAAGGCGCAAGAAGAATGAAGATGAAGTTATCGAATCTGAGGAGGAGGAGGATTTCAACGGAGGAATGCTTAATGGTGGAGGAGAATCGGGGGAGGAGGAGGAGGAGGAGCAGGAGGAATTGGTACCGGAGGAGACGGCGGGAGAGAAGAGGCAGCGGATCGCGAAAGCGTTGGTAGAGAAGCTTCGAGCGAACGAGAAGGAGCTTGAGGATGAGGATGATGAGGAGGGAGATAGAGAGTTTGAGAAGGAAGGTGAGAGGGATTCTTCTGTGGCAAAGAAATTGATGCAGCAACAGCTTGAGGATAGTGGTCGTTTGAGGAGAGCCATTGCTTCTAGGTAAAAAAAAAAAAACTTAGTACATTCAATTTTTCTTAGCTTTTTATGAATGTTAAAAATTAGACAATTCTGGGTTTTTGATTTACTATACCATTTCTATGTCATTATTTGTATTATTTGTGCTGATTTTGCGGCCAAACGGTATCCTCGGGCCAATTTTCAAGAATCTACACATGTTTTTTGGTGTTTGAAAAGAGTTATCTAGCAGCATGATAATTTTTTTTTTTTTTTAATTTGCAAGTATTTGAACTTTACATAAACATCTCCAACTGTATAGTTTGTCTTAAAGCTTTATTGGGCTGTTTCCTAGAATGCTACTTAGATGATGCGGGTTAATCAAATTTAATGGTTGCTTTGAGTGTTTTTCAGAAAGCCAATGGGCACTTTGTTTCTTTTGTTTTTTGTTACTGTCTTAGAGTAGGGGACGTAATGGACATTTTTATTTGCATTATACATTGCGATGGCATGTATGTGTTTTTTTGTTTAGAATGCTTACATTCATGAGTACACCTAGGGTTGCTTTGATGATGCGGGCTAATCAAATTTAATGGTTGCTTTGAGTGTTTTTCTGAAAGCCAATGGGCACTGTTTTTCTTTTGTTTTCTGTTACTGTCTTAGAGTAGGGGACGTAATGGACATTTTTGTGTGAATTATACATTGCGATGGCATGTACGTGTTTTTTGTTTAGAATGCTTACATTCACGAGTACACCTAGGGTTCAAAAGCCAGAGAGTGTTGATGGATTTGAGGTCTTGGTGAAGCATCGGCAATCTGTTACTGCTGTATGCCTTTCTGATGATGACTCAAAGGGCTTTTCTGCTTCCAAAGATGGCATGATTTTGCATTGGGATGTTGACAGTGGAAAGGCTGAAAAGTACCAATGGCCTAACGAGGATATACTAAGATCCCATGGGGCCAAGAATCCAGAAGGTCGAGCAACTAAGCATAGCAGGAATGTTTTGGCATTGGCCGTTAGCACTGATGGTCGGTATTTGGCAAGTGGGGGCTTGGACCGGCATGTTCATTTGTGGGACACTCGTACACGAGAACATATTCAGGTAGATATTAGTTAATGTTTTCCAATTTTTATGTTCTTTCTCTGAAATTTAGGCTAGGTCAAAGAACTAAAGTTAAATTTTGATGTTCTAAGTGTGTCAGTCTAGTTAATAACCTCCTTATTGTGCAAGTAAATTGATGGTAACACGAATTCAACCTGCAAACTTTGGTAATGAAAAGACGGAAGATGCAGAAATCCTACCCTTAATCCCAAGATGAATGCCCAGACAATGAAAAAAACTACGTTGCAAATCACAGCATTAGCTCTGGTTGCTAACTTGTGGCAGACAGTTGCAGGTTCAGGGTAACACAGCTCTATGTCTAAAATAAGGAGCAGTTATCTTTTATAATCACACAATTCCCAATCCAAATATTGAGTCTAAGACCATCACTACGAAAAAGAAAAAAGAAATCATTAGATTAACCTGGAACTGCTACTGTATTGCATGCAAAGTTTCACGATTTTTTACAATTTGAGCTGTTCTAATCTTAAACCTATACTAGTGGTTTCTAAAAGTCTTTTCTAAATCTCCATACACCTTGTTTGGTGCAAGTGATCTCAATTCTCAAATCACATTAGATTTTTTTTTTTTTTTGTTGTAGATATTATTCTTGAAGAAAATGGAAAAGCATATCATCTGTCTTATATGAGCAAGATTTCAAACATTCATATCAGTATCATGTTGAGTCATTTCCTATCAAATTTTGTGTTTGCCAAAGCAGTCTTGTATATCTCCAAACACATCACACCACCACTCTTGTGAAGTCTAAGGACCTTATTGGCAACTTATAAACCATTGTACATTCTGCCTCAAACGTATTACCTCTTTTTACTAATTCAACTACCAGAACATTATTGTCCTGTCATCTACATGACCACATTTTGGCAATACCAATTACTCTGTTTTCATGTTGAATTATATTAACTGATTGTTTAGCAAGAACAATTGATCAATTATCCATAATTCTTGGAAGAAATGGTACCCAACACATTGCTGTTACATTCCATGGAATTACACAATTCTCAATCAATCTTTTGGCATGAAAATATCGTCAGCAAAGTAAAACATTAAATCAACATCTTAAACTACTTATTGTTGATAGTGCTTGTGCTGCTGTTTGTTAACCATACTTCATTTGTGTATTCTCTAATTCTATGAGGGGGAAAAAACATAACAGAGTAACACAATTTCAACCAGACACCCAGAGCTCGTAAATATTTATTGAGTGAATGATCATGGTCTATTGGTGTTCCTTTTTTGGGGGGCCTTCTGTATTATTTTTACTATAATCTATTACAGTAAGCTAAAGAAAATGAAATATGTGGACCACAAATCAAGCGGCAGTACTTGAATTTTGCATATTCCTGTTATGAAATTGATTGTAGTGGTTCATCTTTTAATTTTTGTAGAAAACAAATAATTTAATACTTGATATAAAATAGAATTTAGTCAATCTTCATCATACCTTCAGTAGAATAGGAGAATTGTCACTTCAGAAAAGAAAGCTAAATTCGTCCACCTCCTCACAATCTATGAAAAAGTCCACACACGCACACCCCAAAGATCAACCTACTTGTGGAACATTAAGCAAATGTTTCGCTCAGATAAATCTTCAAAACCATGTACATATGTGTGCATGCATAATTGACTTTGATAAAATACTGGAAGCTTGGCAATTTCCATTCTTAAGCTTGTTCCCACCTATGGTACTCAAGTTACAAAAAATAGGCTTCAGATGAAAAGTTAATTGAGCCAGCAACATCTCATAAAGATGCCATATCTCCTTACCCATAAAGATTCTGCCACCATTTTGTTCTCTGCAACCTTTTTCCATTGCTTCACCAGAGCCTTGAACCTGTCCAGTGAATTTTGTTTCAAATGAAAGTTGTTAAGTGGGAATAGTTGATTTATGGTTTTTATTGCCAATAATACAGTATACAGATTATACTTTTTGAACGAGTGAGTTGTGAAATGGCCAGCAAGCAATGGATGAGAGTGGGAGTGATAAAAAACATTAAATGCTGACACTAAGTAGGAGAGACAGAAGGAAATGGTAGAAAAAACAAAATGCAGAGTTTTGATTTATATGGAAAATCTAGTGTGCCACATGTCAAAATTTTAGGTGTCTGTTGGCTGGGCTGTTCCTCTTATACAGTTATATTAGATAGGTATGTACCATTGATTGGATTTTGATTTCGTAAAAGTATCTCTTTCCACCTGTGTCAATACTCATTGCTGTCTTCTGAATGCTTACCGTTGCTGAGCCTTCTGCTGTCTCTCACTTGTTATTCTCTATTATTATCTATCTTACAGGCTTTCCCAGGTCATAAAGGCCCTGTCTCAAGTTTGACTTTTAGGAAAGGGAGTTCAGAACTTTTTTCTGGTTCATTTGATCGATCAATCAAGATATGGAATGTAGAAGATAGAGCTTACATGAGCACATTGTTTGGTCACCAAAGTGAAGTGTTAACAATTGATTGTTTGTGGCAAGAACGAGTGCTGGCTGTTGCACGTGATCGGAGCATGCAATTGTTTAAGGTATATAGAATAATGTTTTGACATTCTATTGGCCCGTATCAAACAATGCTTTACTGTTTGCACAAAGCTAAATTTATGTCTGAAAATTAATTTGCAAAGACTCTTTCTTTTGGAGCTATGACGCTCCTCTTCATGAATTTTGGCATATTAGAGATGACCTGCATAATGACCAACCACAGTGCAAAGGCATCATCTTAAGGCCTTTTTTTCTCCATTGCATCAAATTCTCAATTTTGATTTTACTAAAGTTATGAGAAGATGGCATGCATTTTTGTACATGCGCTTGTTTCATGTATATTTTCAATTATATTTATCTTTTCATATTCTGTGAATAGGTCCATGATGAATCAAGGCTGATATTCCGTTCTTCTACGTCGTCGTTAGAGTGTTGTTGTTTTATTGACAACAGCGAATTTCTGTCTGGATCAGATGATGGAAATATTGCTCTTTGGGGCATACAAAAGAAGAAGCCTGTGTACATTGTTAAGAATGCTCATGCTTTGTCGACTGATGTCAATAATGGTGAACTGAAGGATAGTGGAAGAAATTACAATGGTCATATTGGTAAATAGATGAAATTTCTAGCTGTCCTTTCACTGCTTCTTTTGGGGAAAATAAAATCTCATTGCTGATTTGAAATATTATCTGGCATCACTCCCTGATTTCTTAGGCTGCGTTGTGTTTTGTGGATGAACACCTAATCTGTGTTCATTAAATCTTGTTGTTTGTCTACCTGCTTAGAATTTTCAGGTTGATTTGCCCTCAAATGACCTGGAAACTATTGTTGTTGTGCAGCATCTTCCTGGGTAAGTTCCCTGGCTGTATGTAGAAGCAGTGATCTTGCTGCATCTGGAGCTGGGAATGGTTCTGTCCACTTATGGGCTATTGAAGGTTCTGGCAAAGGCATTCGGCCCTTGTATGATCTTCCATTGGTGAGTGTGCCATGCTCTATGCAACTTGAATAACCTCTTTGATGCCTCTCTGGTTATTTTAGTAATGACGTGCACATACTCTGAATTAACTGATATATATATATATATATATATATATATGCTACTAATCATCTCTCATGATTAGAACTGCTTTTGTTTAGCTTCTGATCCCAAGGGATTGGCATAGATACTGTAAGATTTATGCCACATTTTTTAATGTTTATGATCAAATGGAATTATTGGATTTGTATTGTTCACCTTCCTACCCTCTTTCAACCGCCAGCATTGCTTTACCCCTTCTCTGTTATCTGTTATCTTCTCTCCAGTTACAAAATGTCAAGCCACTGTGCAATCCGTTGCTTACTGCCCTTTTTCTATGCAGATTGGGTTTGTAAATTCCCTGGCATTTGCAAAATCTGGAAAATTCCTTGTCGCTGGGGTTGGACAGGTACTTGTTTGCATTCAGAGAAGAAAAATAGACCAGAGAGTCTTCTATTTTTCCTAAAAAATAAATCTTTTTACCATGTTTACGATGTTTGATTATACAATCTTGTAATGCTTCAAATTACTTTTGCTTCAGGAACCTCGCCTAGGAAGATGGGGATGCAATTCGGCAGCTCGAAATGGTGTTGCAATTCAGCAGTTGAAGCTTTTGTAGTGTAGAAAAAAGGATCTGATCCTTTTCAGTAATGATTATTTGAGAAAGGAAATGAATATTCCAGTCCTTGTAATTCAATTTTGTCCAAATTTAATGGTTCATCCCAGTTTTTCATTTCCTTTTTGCACCCTGTGAAGTAAATTTCTTGGTTGATGTTTTCGTTCAAGGCAATACGAGTAATGATTTTGCAAACAGTTATTTATAATATCTGTTAGAAGTACTTTGGTTTAATTGTCCAAAACTTGCATGAATTTATTTTGCGGAAAAATAACTTGTTTGAAAAATATTTTCCAATAAAATAAAAACAAGATGAAAATTATTTTCTGATTTTTGGTGTGTTGAAAAGGTCCATTTTGTTGCATTGGTCCCTCTGCCTCCTTAAGGTTCCGTAGTTGGCTTATCTACGGGTGTTTTTTTCCTTTGGTTTTAGCTTATTTTCCTTTGATTATAACTAAGTAGTCAATTGTTTGTGCTTTGTGCCCAGCTTTTAGCCATTTAGCCAAAAAGACAGATTCTCATATATATATATATATATATAAGTAAATACCCATGAATCATATTTTCTTAATTGAGCTAAATGACAACGGAAAAATATTCTACAGGAGATCTTTTTTTATTCCAAACAAATAATAATAATAATAATAATTCCTGACGTATATAGCATATTAATTCATACTCATTATAGGGGTTACCGGGTTAGCAAAACTTAAGTAATTAATGGGCTTGCAAATCTCAAAATATGGGTCTTCCGTCCATGTTAATTGAAAAAAGATTAAAGATAAGCCGCATGGAACACTCCATGTCCAGAAACATGGGAAAATTTTTATTTCACTTTATTTATAACATTTATAACAAGAAATACAGGAAAAGGATTTACATAGACTTGACAAAACAATATTTGGGTTCCTGAACAACCAAAAACCATTATTTTTGGTCAAATGCATTTCACTTTTAGGGTTTGTTTGTTACAGAGATTGTCTTAAATGATACTCAAAGTTCCATTTGTAACTTCTCAATTTAGCGCTTGAAAAAGATTATTAAAAATTGTTAGAAGACGTTCTGAAATTTATCAAAAAGTAATGGATTGGTTTTTAGAGGAAAGTCCCAAAAATCCAAAAGCAAATAGTTCATGTCCCAGGGCAGGAGCCTTTAAGTTTATGAGGCATGTTATTCAATAGAAATCTTTCTTAAATTTGCTAGATTATTATTATTATGGCATGAAACTCTATCCAAAAACAAATAAAAGCGATCAAAAACACAAGGTGTCAAACATCAGCATGTTTGTTATCAGTACATCAATGGCTGATTTTATTGATTCCGGAAATAAAGTCTACAGAATTCCTAGTGGAGGTTTCTAGGAAAATGAACCTTCAACAAAGATATGGCCTGCAATGTACATACTGATCAAAACTTAGAACAATGTTTCAGGAAAACAAGGTGATGCAAATTCTGCATCTGCAGTAATATTGGTGAAAGGGGGATGGCAAACAAATAAATAGCAGCAAGAACTCTGTGACAATGCTGTGTAACTCAAACTTGACGACAAGTGAAGTATCAAGATACTGCAGTACAGATGTGATGATGACCATGCTTCAAACCAAGATTTTAGGAAAATTTGCTAAGAATACAGTAGCACGTTCAAATCCTTCAGGTAAATGTCCAACGGTGCCTACCATTGCCGAGATACTGGCATAAATGCCCAAGATTATGTGGCATTTTAGAAGCTGAAAGTAAAACTACATGTAAACTTCCATGATTGGGATGCATTTTAAACTTCCAAACAAAAAGATATTCTACATGTAAGAGTTAAAAGGTTTAGCTAACCTTGATTTCAACGACTAATAAAAAACAGATTGAAAAGAATATCTCATTCTAGAAGCTGCATTACCATAATAAAATCATAAAACATAAGCGAAACAGCTTGCTATATGACACAGGAAAATAAATGAATAGAAAACACTGGAAGTTCTTCTTTCATTTGTCCTTCTGAAATTTCTCCACATATGCCTGAAACAAGATAGATTAATAAATAAATACAATAGCAAAATCACAGACAGTATGCTGAAGAATTCATAAATTGAAACCGCTTTGTCCCTACATGCACCATAAATTTGTACCACATAAAAGTATGAGAAGCAATAGGAAAATCCAGGTAAGGAAAAAGCTCGGATTTTGTAATCAAATACACATTCATTTCAAATTCGAATACAACATGAATAAGCACATCAGCACTCACCTGTACAAGTTTGGTCAGCTTTGGCTTTGAAACCGACAGATATTGTTCAATTTTTTCTTGTGTTGTAGGAATACTTGCACTCTGCATAGTGCCAGTAACTTTGTCTACCACTTTCTTAACTATGTTCTTGTACGCGTCTTTGCTCACTTGACCTTCCTTCCATGCAGGTTTCAGTAGATCCTTAACAAACTCCACCAGTGCAAACTTAAATGCACGATTTCCCTTAGCATCCTTGTTTTTCTTGCTCTCATCAGCTTTGCCATCACCATCACTGTTCTCTAAGGGACCATTCTCTTGTGCAGTCTTATCCTGCTCTTGTACTTTATTGCTTTCCCGAGACCCCACTCCATTGTTTTCCTTGGCAGCTTCAGCACTCAAATCTTGTCCCGGCTCACTTAACTGGGAACTCTTGTCATCGGACTCTTGCTCTGAGCGGAACTTGATAAAATCACCACCATTGGGTGCAGCAGCAAGAGATGAAGGGGACAAGTTTTTGGAAAGCAATTCTAGTTTCTTATCTGGAGGATTAGTATCAACATTATGCATCCCAGGCTCAATGCTGTCGCATATAGGATCGTAAGGCTTCCTGGGTTCAAAAGCTTGATTTGGCGGAATGGCCACCACAGAATCTGGTTTGACAGTGCCCTCTGAGTTGGCAAAGGTACCATTATTCGAATTATGAGCAGCATAAAGTTGTGGAAGCTGCTGTCCATTCGCAAGTAACTGAGCCAGAGAGACAGAAAGGTTGGTAAGATGAGTCAACTGTTCATTGCTAGCCGTGTTTTGAGTCGTGGGAATTCCCGAGTTCACAAGTGGTGCATTTGCATTCCTAATATCTGGAATGTTGATCGCTTTTCTCTCCTGTACCAGTGTCTGAGTCGTGGGAATTCCCGAGTTCACAAGTGGTGCATTTGCATTCCTAATATCTGGAATGTTGATCGCTTTTCTCTCCTGTACCAGTGTCTGAGTCGTGGGAATTCCCGAATTCACAAGTGGTGCATTTGCATTCCTGATATCTGGAATGTTGATCGCTTTTCTCTCCTGTACCAGTGTCTGATTTTGAGGAATTGTTATTGCCCCTCTTGGAGGGTTGGTCAAGATTGCTTCTTGAATTGGTCCAACAGCATTCAAATTCGGAATAGGTGAAGCATTTGAACTCAGGCCATTTTTGTTGAAGCTTTGTGTTGCAAGAGCATTGGCAGAAATGTTTATGTAAGAACTGGCAGTTTTTCCAGTCACACCATCATCATGTGGCATAGCACTACCACTAACCTCCTTTAAATTGAAGCTCTGTTGAATGCAAGATGTTTCATTCGACCTTGGCAGCATGATTGCACTGGTATCATGCACCCGAGCTGAACCCTCTTGAAGTTCACAACTGGATAAAGAAGCATGCTCTCCCTTGTTGATATGGTTGGACGGTTGCAGTCTGTAGTTCCAATCAGGAGACATTTCCATATCACCAAGCCAATTCTCAGGAGCTCTCTGTTCTGAAACATTAGTGTTATCGCCAGCATTTTCTGTCTTCCATTGGACGGCTTCCTTCTTGTCAATCTCAACCACTTCAGTAGTTGGAGGATTACTGCGTGTCTTATTCTTGACCGAATTATGGCCCCATCCATCCTCCATACGCCGTGCAGAGAGCCTCGGATCTGGTGCATCCAATTTGTCATTTTTATCTTCACTCAACTTTGCAGTGTCTGAAGTATGACTGTCACTCCATTTTGGACCATTCCATGATTTTTCCACATCATCTGAGTTTTGGCTTGGCGGCCACCTACCATCTCGTGATCTTTTGTCAGGACTTGTAATTGTCTGATCATGATGAGAAAACCTGCAATATTTTCCATTCCGACAATTACCTGCAGCAAAAAATTTGCAGGGAATATCAGCTGCTCTGCGGGTTTCACGCTCAGCACGTCTCTCTGGAGATGCATATCTATGTCTTCGGTCATTATCTCTTTCTCTAATCACCTCATTTGCAGACCCCCTACTAGATGGATCGGAAGCACCATGATGGGAATACCTGCAGGATTCACCCCTTCTACAGTTCCCTTTTAGAAATTCATTACAGCAATCAGAAGACCTTCCACTCCCCATTGGGTACTGCTTAGAATCATGAGAGATGGGATATTTTGAAGCTGCAGTTTTCCTGGGTCTTTCCCAGTCATCCTCATAAGTCTCAGTATCTTGGTGAAGAAACTGGCAATGATTGCCTCTCCTGCATCTCCCAGCAACAAAATCCTTACATAATTGAGCTGATACACCAGATCTACTTCTAGTTCTGTCATATGCTCCTGATTCTCGCCCGAAGCCATGGACTGGGCTCCTGCTCCGGCTCCGGCTCCGGCTCCAGCTCCGGCTCTGGCTCCTGCTTTTGCAAATAAACCAGAGAATGCTAATAGAAATGTTGTATGCAAAGTTAAATTGAGGTAAAGCAGTTTCTAACAGGTATGAACTTATTACATAGTGTGAAGAGCACTACCTCGTACATGAAAAGCATGAAACAAAAACACCAAAAACCATAAGCTAGCAAGGAAAATTGCTGTAACTTGAAGAATTTTAAAATTTCAAGTAGTTAGTGTAGCATTGCATGTCCAGTGAAAGAGTCTACAGAACTAAAAGCATGTGATTCTTGACTCTTTTGGGATATAGAAGATATTTGAAGACTAACATTACTATTGCATCATATGCAGATTCCATTGCAGGAAGGCGCCAGATAGATATGGCAATAGCTAACTAAAAAACAGGACATTGACAAGAATGCTAATAGCTGTATCAGAAAAGGTGCTGAGCAGATAATCAAACCTTCTTGATCTTTTATATTCATTCTTTGGAGAATTTCGAAAACTATGCTGTCTCCAATCATCAAGACCAGGAGACATTCTAGTTCCATAACTCTCATCTTCATAACTGGCTTTCAAAGTTCTGCTATGGTCTTCATCTATGTTATCATCCCTGCGAGAGCTTCTTCTTCCAGGCAAAGGTTCCATAGCCGACCACTTGGAGCGAGTGCCACCAACAGCTTCGGGTGAGAGCCAATCACGTCGTGATTCTTTGTCGCGAAAAGATATTCCTGCTTTCCCAGGCCAAGCATTGTCTTCCACATCTTCAAATGACATTCGAGACCCTTCTTTCAAATCCCATTTTGAACTGCGTTTTCGGCCACTCCCACTCATTTTGACAGAATCACTGCCACCTTTCATTCAACTGGAGTATCTGGGGACAGGGAAAAGCCATAGGTCCATAAATCTTGATGACATTGAATTTATTATTGTTTATTTACTTTCTCACCTTCTCCTTTTTCTCAAGTTGCATGAAAAAAATCCAATAACAAGCAGGATCTATATTTCAAATTTGAGATGTAGCACATAAAACTAATAATATCACGTTGTACAAGTTAATGACCTAGAAAATGAACAGACAAAAGAACATCTCAATTTAACCAGGATTAATGTTTTATATAATTCAAATGTAAATAATATAGACCAATGATTCCATGCTATCAAAAAGTTAATAAAATTGACATAGTTGAAAAAGAACATAGCTTAAACCCCACCCGTACCCTTCTTTTGAAGTACACGAATTTAGAGGAGAATGCAACGATTGACTTTTCTTCCAGCCAGTAAAAAGAAACAAATTTTACATTAACTTATCCAAAAAGCAGAAAAGAAGCTCATCTGTTAGTAACACAATGAAAGGAATATGACACAACTCCTTAATCCATATTTGATTGATCCAGAAAACTAGAAGAATTTCCTCCCATATCTTATCTGATCTCCGAAATTATATTATTAGCTTCAAAATACAAATTTCCTAAATACATAGTGTGTCCCAAATATGATTATAAGAATACACCCTTCCCTAATTTAAGATTTTTACCCTTCCCTATTTTCAACTGATATTACCATTTTTATCGAATAGTTTGCTAGTTTAACCAAAAACCTTTTTTATTAAGTTCAAATTAAAACTCTATTAGATATTATGTTTGTGGACTAACTGGACATAAACTAAACGCCCGTAAAAAATAAAAGAAAAAGAAAATAAACTAAACGCCCCTCAAAATAAAAGAAAAGGAACATCGACTAAAAACCCCACAATTAAACGAAATGGAATGTAAACCAATCTGACAAGATTTCATTTTAAAAACAGGTTCAAAAACCACTACTACCATCACATTTCCAGTAAATTAGTATCAATGAAAGAGCAAATACATTTCCTTTTGGCCCAAAACACAAAACAAATTGCAAGAGAATTATAAACAAAGCAAGGAAAATAGTGGGTGGCTAATAATAAAATAACAACCCCGCCCATTACCAACACAAATAAACAACGAAAATAGTTCCTTTAATTAATGCCACTACAAGCAACATTATATGCAGCTTCCACTAATACATATTCATCCACAGAGTTAGAATAGTCTATCCATCCATTTCTAACCAACTACATTGAGAATCCTTTAACAATCTCCAAAAAAGTTCCACTAGCTTGATCAAGTAAGAACAGGATCAAGCAACACATGCACTACTTTTTTCTTCTTCTTCTGCGTCTTTTTCTTTTTTCTTTTTCTTTTTTTAAAAAAATAAAATTGAGGGGGTTGAGTTTCTTTTTTGGCCTTAGCATGCAAGCCTGAAATGGGTGCACACCCCTGCATTTGCAAACATAAAACTGGCTCCGGTTAAATGCAACCAGGCATCTCCCATCCAGGAGAGAATATGCATCCCAATTTACACCCCTCAAGATTTTGATAGGATCCAAATTATCTGCATGATATGTTTGGAAACAAAGCACATATTTCATAACAACAAGGCAGTTTCCTATTCTATACTACTGATAATACGCACACTCGCCTCAATTCTTGCTTGTTGCAAACCCAAGATGGCCAAAAATAGGTGAACTTCAAGTAACTGTATGCAAGCACTATCATTCTTTCAAGCCTATAAGTGCTCAAAAAGAACCAGAAGCCTGTTCAAGAGCATAAAGGGTTTTTTTTTTTTTAAAAAAAAAAGGGGCCACTACTACTACTCCTGTTAACCATATGGCAAATCACCTACAAACAAACAGCTTTACATACAAAATATTCTGTCCTGTGAATTGAAAGTTTTTTACACCTTTCCAAACTATTCAAAGATATGGCATAGATGTTGCACTCTCAACATTTTCCGCAATCAAATGTGGTAGAACTTGCTGATGATCAATTATCGATCACTCATTACAATCAATATAATACAGTAGCTTGCAAATCAAGTAACAAGGTTACAACTTTAATTCACTCAATCCTTCCGAACAACATTCCCTCAATCCTTCCGCACAACATGACATTGATGGACATTGGCATTCAAAACATCAATGACTATTACTTTTGTGGATGTATTCTTTGACCAACTCTTGAACTATGATGGAGGTTTCGCAATGCTATCTCAGACCCTTTTGAATGGTCTCCAGTCATACAAATTGACCGAGATCCATTAATTTTTGCTAAAATTCAATGTTCCACTTGTGGAAGGATTGAAATCCATTACAAAAATAATTGCATCAGTTACTTTTGAACATTTTGGAAATCCCTCCACGCATTGACCTTGTGAGTTACTGCATAAACATTATATCTGATATTAGCAATCAGGTAAATGTTTTCTATGGAGATGCATAGAACTAGAGCACATATGGGTACGTTACCCTAGTAGTGGTCTACTAGTGTGTAAGCAGTTAACCTAGAGAAAAGATAGAAACTAATGACTCAACCAGAAGGACATATAATTGTGATTTTAGTACCTAACTATCAGGGATATGGCACTGATATCATAATATTGACACTAAACACACACCAGATGTTAATTAGATGCATGTTTAACACAACAATCAAGTCCCATAATCATTCAACTAAAGATCATGCAAAAAATAGCATAGAAAGCAAAGTTGAAAAATAGATATATGAATCAAATTACAGTATATGCTTTGACTAAGAAATCATGAAAATCACAGCATAAATTCATGAAGGAAGCACTCTTCCCAATTCATCGCAAAAAGAAAGTAGCATTGCGGGTGTTACTACATCATTATTTAAATTTAATATCCTCTCAGCATCACTAAAGTTTGAGTATCCAGCTATCCAACCTACTTTAAGAACTCCGGAGCAAATAATTGTAATAAATTGATTATGGCAGCCTTCAAGATTTATTTCTTATGCATCTTAACATCTGAACCCTAAACAACCTATCAATACTCCAGAAACCAATGGCCGCTGTTATCTATTAGTGTTCCGAACTAATTAAGTGTAAAATTCAAAATCCTATTAAACCTCAGTCTACACTTTAAACCCAAAATTTTTCTCAACACGATACTAAAAATTTTGAGCTACAGATAAAGAAACCCCTTAAAACCTGCTTAGTCCATAAAATAAATAAAAGCCTTCGCTTTTCAACATACACTATTGCTTTTGAACCCTATAAAATCAAGAACCCGAAATCCACTACCAATTAAAGTTTGTGAGAATTGAAAAGTTATAAGCTTTAAGCTTTCTCAAAAAATCAAAACCCATGAACTAATAATAATCCCCAACAATGTTAGCAGTAAAAAAAAAAAAAAACAGAGAGAGAGAGAGAGAGAGAGAGAAACCCCAAATTGAAGCATCAAATGATAATAAACCCTAAAAGAACCCTAATCATTATGTCCAAGAACTTCTCCACAATATCAACTCAAAATCAAAACTTAAACAAAACCCATTAAAAAGAATTAACACGAATCCCTAAAAACAATAAAAACCAAAGCATATAAAGAAAGAAACTTAACAAAAGATCGAAGAAGAGAGTACTTACATGAAAACTAAAGAGGGCAAGCCATGCAGGGGAGTCAAAGAAAGAATGAAAATTGGAGAGAATCGAGGGCTGAATGAAGAAGTAAAGAGTGTGTTCTTAGTTTGCCATTTAATTAGCAGAAAGAAAGAGAGAAAGAGAGACGAAGAAGAGACTTGTGAGTTCCACTTCTATATAATACGAGAATCGTTTGTAAGATCTTTCATTTTTTTTGTTCTTGGTGGGACCCACTAGTTTGTTAAGCCCTACGATGTTTCTTATTTTCATATATTCATTTATTTTTTTACATGAAAAATAAAATTAAATTTTTTTGTAAGATTTTTGTTTCGAGACCAAATCTCTTTTTATCAAGTTTTTAGATAAGTCAGATTGATATATTTATCAAAAATTAAAAATTCATACTCACTTTTAAATTCTAGTTTAAAAGAAAAAAACCAATAAGAAAATCCATCTATTACTAGAATTAATGCCTCAAAAATTTTGGATATGATTGTTTAAATTGGTTTTGCACTTAATATCTATGCATTTTAACACTAGCTCATGCAGAGCAGCCTTACTGGTGTTTATGTGAGAGACAAGATTAATTTTAACAAGTGGTTTCGTATCAATATGAAAAAAAAAAGGTTCATATACTAAAAATATTGGCATTCCAAATTATAATTACATTTCTAGTCAAATATTGATATAAAATATTTGCTTCCTAAATTATTATTTTGGCTTTAAATTATAAAGAAGGTTGGAAGAAATTAACGACATTCACCAAAATTTAGGTGAATATGCCTAAAACTCTATTAAGAATGGCTTGGTTTTGGTCTTACCCTATAAAAAACCTAACCATTAAAAAAAAAAAAAAAGCAGTAGAATCAAAAGGAACAAGGATTCAATCACACGTGAAAGTCAACAACAATGCATATATAGGAAAACCTTCCTCTTCTCAGATATTACGATGATTATTAGTTTTTTCTTTAATCTTGTTAAAGTTTCATTCGTGATATAAGAGATGCACGATCTATGATGCAAATGATGTAGCATTTTCTCTTTAAAAAACAACCATGAGTATTGTTTCGCAGGCTTAAGAGGGTTTTTTTTTTTTTTTCCTCAAGAAGGAAATAATTCAGAGGAAAGATTGAAATATTTTACTTGCATGCTATCAGGAAAGAGAACAATTGAGAATATTTTCAACTTGGATCTCAATTTCTCAATGCATGTTTTACGTATTTAGTCAAGTTTTGTATAAGATTAAACGAAAATGACGAGCATCTAAAGGCATGTAAACAAAATTTGTGAGTTTAGGGATCCGTTTATTTTACAAAACAAATATTGTTCTAAGTTATTTTTCATTGTTTTAATGTATCACAAGAAGTATT